TGTATTGGGAACATCTCCCGATGATGTCATAAATAGCTGCATTTATACATATTATGTATAATATGTATTAACTCTCATTTATACATATTATGAGACGTTGTGGGGCGGAGATGTGGTTTTTCTCCAAATAGGGAAACAGTTTTATATGTAAACAGCTGCACTTATACATATTATGTATCATTTCATTTAATTCCTATTCATTAAATAGTTTATATTTAGAGTATTAACTCTCATTTTCTATCATTGACCTTGCATATAAGGTATTTTATTTCACTAATAAATTCTATTAATTATATATATATATATATATCCAATGCTTTTAACCATATAAAACCTACGCCTTTTAAAATTGGGCACATATTTAATATTTATATTAAAGAAAATTAATGGAAATAAACAAAAAATGTTTTTATTGATAACATAAATGAAATACAAAATTTAAAACCAACCAGAGAACACAATTGTTTTTCTTATTTGGTGGTGGGTTAATAGTTCAACTTTTAGGTCAAATGTGTGAGCCTTTGATATCATAATTAAATAGCAAAAAATTAAAAATAAAAATAAAAACACATAAAAATGGAAAGATAAATAAGTTTTACAAAAAAAAAAAAAACATTTGAGTACATCTCTAATATTGCATATTCATCATATTAAACAAAAATAAGTGTTATAAATAAGAATTACTTTTATATACATAGAAATATAAAAAAACGTAGAAAAGTTGAGCACACACTACTACTACTACAAGTATGAATGCACTTGTGAAACATTTTTTGACTAAATTACTCTATTTTTGAATTTAGTCACTCTCTAATTGCCAAGATATAAAATATAATTTGAATTACTACTTTTCACCTTATTCAATTCCTTCTTATTATGTCTTATGCTTAAGATATTAACTTTCATTCTCTCTCATTAAATTCTACATTTAAGGTATTTTTCTCCATTAAGTTTTAAAACCCATGTTTTTAAAAATGACCTAAAAATGAAACCCTTTTTTCTATCCAAATAGTGGATAAGCAATTCAACCATCTAGGTCAAATGGGTCAAATCTATGATGCCATAATTATATAATTAAAATAAAGAAAAGATAAAATACAAAAAATACATTACTTTTGTATAAAACATTTGGACACATCTAACATCTCTAATATTGTATATTCGTTATATTAAATAAAAATTATTTTTATATGCATAGGAATATGAAAAATTGCATAAAATTTTGAACATGTATTATTACTATCATCATCATCATCTAAAACTGTAATGTGCAAATACATGCACATTTGCTAGTAAAGTTATATAGATCTAGGTGCCTCCTGCACTTTTTATCTCCATCAAGTTCCTCACTTTCAAGACTTCTTGCCATTTTCCAGTATATCCCAATTTCCCAGAATTATAAGTTACAAACAACTCATACTCAGCGAGCTCTATATTCATGAAATCCTGTAAATTACTTAGGTCCTCTTTGGGAGGACTTAAGCTTTCACTAACTTGCTTTATCTGAGCTGTTTTGAAGACCATTAAAAGAAGTTTCAACAAAGAGCCATGTAAGGTATGTTTGGTTTATGATTGCATTCATCTTACCTCAATTTCATGAACACACAACAATGAAAATGAGCAATTAGTATGTTGTTGCTGGTTTTTTAACCAACAGTATGTACGAGATTTCAAAACCAGCAAGATAAAACACAACTTTTTATAGCTTTCTCAACCAGGCAACATGGCTAGTTGATGTTAATCATGACATAACATTTACAAAGTGTGTCTCAAACACAAATAGCTCCTATTATAATTAGGGCAGATTTCTTAAACTATCCCAATTGTTTAGTTAATTGAGAAACTCTACCCTTATTGTTCATATGTTGTCTTAAAGTACCCCTACTATTTCTGACAATTGTCATCATTGTTAAATGCTAATGAAAAAAACGAAATATCAAATTTACCCTTAATTTTGGTTCAAATTTTCAAAAAAAAAAAAACCAAAGCCAAAGCCAAACCATTGTACGAGTTGTCTTTGGCCTAATACCGTCAGACACAACATCAAACCCAATGGACCTGCATTGCATGCCAAACACCGGCATGGCCGATTGGAAATGCCACCAACGCTAGGACCTGATTAACTATTCTCTTGTATGATCTGAACCATTTCGCTTGAGCCATGATTCAAAAGAATGGGCTGAACTCAGAGACAACACCCTTCTGTTCGTATCCATACTCCTGGGCCAATTTCTTCAAAAGCAAGACAAAATCAAGTGGTTTAAGAATTTCGTAGAAAGAGAGGCTGGTCGGTGATAGGGGGAGAGAGAGAAGTTAAAGCGACAGATTGTATCTCGGTGGTTGTTTGCAAAGGGCCACCACCGTAGGTTAGAGCTACAACAAGTTGCTTCTAACGAGTTAAAGCGAGCTGATCGGTGACAGGGGGAGAGAGAAGTTGCAACGACAAATCTGCATCTTGGTGGTTGTTTGCAAAGGTGAGAGCTGCATTAGAGCTACAACAAGTTGCTTCTAATGAGTGCAAGTCGTCTCATTTTCATCTCTGGCCCCCCTATTTTGCCACCGAACCAGAAGATCAAAAAAATGGTATACAGTCATCTTCGCTCAAACTTTGATTTGCTCTTTAATCTTCACTCATTATCATTCTAGTTATCCCTCTACCTGAATTGAAGTAGCGGTGCACCACAGAGCCAAACATGCACCAAAACAGAGTCCGGATCTCCTACCCACAGCTTCCTACCTACATCCCTGCCCACGTCACCAATTTTGGACATGTGTCCAATAACATGTGTCTCTTCTTCATATGTGCACAAGTGAATGTGAAGTAAAGAGGCTGTAATGGGACGGACGTTACGTCCATCCTGTCAAAACCCAGATTTCACCCATTAACCCAACTACTATTTTTACCTAAAAAATTACTTTCCCCTCCCCAATAACCCTAATAGTGTTTTGTTCTCTCCATTCATTCTTTACAGGTACTATTCCAAGAAACTTCACAGGCAACCGACAACCAAGAACCAGCAACCAGCAACCGGCAACCAACAACCGACGATGTGCTCACCGTCATCTTATTCTCTCCGTACTCCATCGGTTAACCTTCTTCTTCTATTCTCCACAACATCCTGTTCCAAGAGATTCCACCTACATCTGGCATCCAGCAATCGAGGACGTGCTCACCGACATCCTATTCTATGCATACTCCATCGCTTATCCTTGTTTTTCTTATCTCCAACAGTAGTGTGTCCCCTTCCCAAGAACCCTAATAGTGTCTTGTTCTCTCCATTCATTCTCTACAGGGTACTATTCCAAGAAACTTCACAGGAAACCAGCATCTTATTCTCTACATTCATTCTCCATTCATTCTTTGCACTACTTGTGTACAAAAGTAGTGCCTTGGAAATTCAAGTTTATGGTTAGTGGAGCTCAGTTATTGGGGAGAAATCTGAACTACTCATTCAAATGGATTCCAATGAGTGCCAATGAGTTTGATGATGACGTAGCCAAACCAGGGGTATCAAGACAATGTTTAGTCTGGGACCTGAGAACGCAATGAATTTTCTTCAGATCACAATAAAAAAAATGACTTATGATATTTGTTTAGTTGCTTGAGGATACAATCCACATTGGAATTCATTTTCATTTTCCTCAGCTTGTTAAGGGCATCTTGATGATCCTATGGTCCTATTGGATTACTATTAAGTTAATTTAATTGATACACTTATCGGTAAAAGGAACTTAATTCTTTATAAAACTTGAGGGAGAGTTGCATCTTCTTTAGTTTTACATCCATGGAGAGTTTACATCAAAAACCAACCTCATGCAAACAGGAAGTAATCATTAATTACTGAAGCTTATTTGGAGATGCATCTTGGACTGTCCTGGAATAATATCAAGGTCACAACTAGAGGATCTAGTTCTGATCTTAACAGGGGATGTTCAACTAGATTAATCATGTTTCAGTTTAAAATGAATTTGGCACATGCACATTAAAAAATTCCAATAGTGTAGAAATAATGAATTTGGCACATGTATATTCAAGAAATTCTGCTTGTTAAAATCTTAAATCTTCCATTCTTTCTTTTATTCTACCATATCAAACTTGATCAATATTTGCTTACAAGTTACAATGTAGGTAAGATACTTTAATCTATGATGACCTTATCTCACAGAGGGTTCATTGTCTCCTTTCCTTGTTATTAGCTGTCAATTGAAGAGGAATGTGCATCTTTGGGACTTGAGAGGAATGTGCATCAATGCACGACAAGCTAGCTTGATGGAAGCAAAAGAAATAGAAACCAAAGTTTATGGCATTGGAAGCAAAAGTGGATGGGATACAATGAGCACAAGGACACACTCGAAGAATGACTCTCTTGACTTTGTTCTTTTTTCTTTTGTGTAACATTGATGTGTTTAAAGGTTGTCTTGTGTAATGATACTTAACTTGCTCTTGAAACCACTATATTTGTAGGTTTTTTTTGTTATTTTTTTAACTAGAAAATCAATTTTCAAATGGTCATGTGTTTCTCTCTTTTCAGAGTGAGTTTTTTTTCCATTTCAAATATTATTTATAAAATAAGATTTGTCTTTCTTCTTAAGTCATGTCTTAACTAGGAAATCAGCTCCAATTGGATTAGGACTTTTTGATACCATCCAAACAGACTTTGGAATCTAAATTTCAGAATTAACATTGAACAGTGTATGTAAAGGGGTAATTTTTGTATTGTATTGTCTTTAATCTCATATTGTCCAATGTTGACTTAGAACATATAAAGGGGCCAAATAATGTAAATTGTTTGGTATATAATATAGAAAGGCAAGCAACCTACCCTAAATTGGAATCTTATTGGAATAGATTGGAGCCTGTTAGGCCTAGTGAACCAAAAATTTCTATTTGGATTAGTTTCTCTTTCTAAGTAAAAGATTAAAAATTGGTGAGCATAGAGATGAATAATCATTGTAATAGAACCGATTGCTTTCTCAATCAATGCAACTAAGGGCCAATGTGATAATGAATGAATTAAATAACAATTGATTTATCTTTCTAGTAAACATGTCATTAAGTTGATTGTTTATTGTAAATTCCTTAATTGCTAAATGGAATAGTGGGTTGCTCACTAAATTATAAATAATACTTTATTACATGACTATGAATAAATTAGACATTTAACCTATACTAAATCTCCATCCATGAACTCTGAAATCCGTTCCATGATTGGTTATGAAGACAAAATCCAAAGTCTAAGCATACCTGAAAAAAAAAACGAAATTAGATAAGAAAATAAAAACAATCTAATTAAAGGTCAAGTTGTAGGATCATTAAAAATGAGAGAGAAAACCCCACCCTCCCTAATTGATACAATTCAACAAAGAGATTATCACCTATTCAATACAATTGAGAGTATACCTGTTTGAAAATGTGAGAAAATTTGTCACTCAGTTTTCTCAGAACTGGTACAAGTCCATTGCATGATATGGTCCAATATCTGATGAGGCCTGGAAAAATATAATTTTATCTTTTTTAATGATGCAAAACATAATTTGGATCATAATTCTTTCAATGCAAAGATTATCACCTATTCAAATGAGATCCGCCATAGATGGGTTCTCTAAAAACTTTGCCTGGCACATCTCCCTATAAAAAGAAACCAACAAATGTGAAGGAAAATTATATTATAAAAAATTGTGTTAAAAAAATCCTGTATATTAATATCATGGACAAAGGAGTAGGAATGCCTATGCAGTAAATAAATTGGTGGCTATGACAAAAATATATAATAAAACTCTTAAAAATTTTGTTACCTTTAAAGTAAATTAAGTTAAAGTATGTATGATTTGAGTCAATTACCTGAAATGTTGAAGTCATAGTATAAAAATTTTGCAAATCCTGTGTATATGAGAGAATGGTATTATTTGGATTACTTGTACTTGTAACATTCTCCCTATTATCCACAAACATTGATTCCTATATTATAAGAATTTTAATAAAAAAAATATTAATACTAGAAATATCAAATTTCAAAGCAGTAATTATCAATCTTTAATACCTGGGTATATGAGAGAGTTTGGTCAAAGTGTTGTTCATCTGCCATCTTCCCCTTAGACACATTCCACCCATCTTTAGCTTCCTGCATAACAAAAAAAGTTAAATTAATATTTAATATTTATTTAAATAAATTTCATAGATAAATAAAAATAATACCTTTGTAGAGAATTTTTCATTAGATTGATCCTTCTTCCGTTTTGCTCTCTTTACAAATGCTTTTGCCAAAGCATTCTTTGGCCTCTTTGAAGAACGCATGGTGGTCACATTGTGCTTAAATCCTTTTACCTGTTTTGATATCCCACCTTCTACAAAACCAACATCATTACTACTAGCATTGTTATGTTCACCATCAAGATTTGTGCAAGGAGAGATGGTGTTATCATTTTAATCTCCCATACTCTCAATTGCAATAAATGATTGATTAAATGTTGTTTGCTGTAAACACGCTGACACATCACTGAAAAGTTTCTCTCCACACTCCATAACTATCTTGTAAGCCTCCTCACTACATGCAGCTCTATTTACTATTTGGCTAAGCATATGAAACATTTGTTTTCTACGTATAGTCATTCTTGTAATTTCATCAGAATAATGAGTTGAGATATGAGATGATGTGGTCACCCTCGCATCAATGGTCCATCTTCTCAATATATAGCATGAGGGTATCATTTTTATGTGTCTATAATCAAGTATTTTCAATGCATGCCTACATAAGATCCTAACAAATTCAAACTTTTTGCAATTGCAATTAACTGAATCATTTTTTGCATCAAAAGTAACATTGTATTGACGAGATGTACCAAACACACTAACTATATACATAGTTATTGTTTCAGACACCACATGATCACCTTCAATGTTGCATTCAGTTGTTCCAATACTTCATTATGAAACATAGAAAAATTTTGAGGTGTATATATATGGGCAACATTCTTTAATCTTCTCAATCGTGATGCAAAGGTAGGGATGCTCCATGTTGCTGCAAATTCAGCTTTTAGCTCTTCATAACGCCTATCAGCAACCATTCTTTCAAAGTGCCCAAGGAATCTTCCCAAATCATGCTTAATATTGAGATACTCTTTTAGAAAACTGTTCATACTCTCACTTCTTTGTGTTGTGCTCATGCTAGCAGAAAAAGATTGGTGTCCAAACACTAAAGCCCATTTATGTCTTTTGTTGTATAGTTTTTGCAACCAATCATTGTCTTGAAGTTCATATTTACTGATCATACTCTCCCATGAATTTTCAAATTCCTCCACATCCTCGCATGCATACACACAAATACTGAAATCCTTGGAGAATGTCTTAGACTTTTGAAAAACACCACAAAGGTGTTTTGCAGAATTCTGAAACACTAAATTAATAGCCTTTGCCATAGCTGCATCACAATCAGTTAGAAGTGTTTTTGGTTTTTTTCCACCCATTATTTTGACAAAAACTTGAAATAACCATTCAAATGTATTTGAAGATTCATCATATAATAATGAATCACCAAAAATAATTGTTTGCCTATAATTATTAACCCCTACAAATAGTGCAAATGGTCGATTTTCCTTATTTGTTCGATATGTTGTGTCAAAGCATACCACATCACCAAAATGACCATAGTCCACTATCATTTGTGCATCTGCCCAAAACAAATTAGTAACTAACTCAGCTTGATCCAATTGTACCGCATACACAAAAGAAGGGTCTTGTGATTGTTTGTCTTCAAAATATTGTAGAATACCATCTGCCTCCCCTCTCTCTATTTTCCCATTCCGATATGAGTAAATAATTTTTCAAATCTAAAAAAGTAAACCCAATATTTTCATGCCCGCCAGCTTCATTTGCCATCAATTCCATTGATGCTTTGGGAGCAATTCCTGATTCATCTGCCATTATAACTTGATTACCCTGTACCTTAGAAATCTTTCTTTGTGATATCAACATATGTGACTTTGAAGGAGTTGTAACCAAATGGTTATGACTCTCATTAAAACCAATCACATAATATCTACTATCATCTCGTTGACTTATCTTCATAACTGCAATACAACCACATCTTGTCTCCACTCGGGGTTGCTTAACAACGAGATTGCATTTATTTGCAACACGCTTCCCTTCTCTAGAACAACAAAGCTTGCTGAATCTCACTTTACTAGTCCTTTGGCATAGTACTCTATTAGCTTTTCGAGCACTAAGCCCACTTTCCCAACATATTTATTATAAAAATCATAAGCTTCCTCTACTGTTTTAAAACTCATGCGAGTCAACTTTTCAGGAATGAATGATAATTTTTCTTTGAGTTTATATTGTATATTTGCATCAAAACCCTTATTTTCTTCAAATTTAGGCAAATCATCAACATTTTTTATTGACTCATCTATAGTAGGTAAAACATTTACCTCATTTAAACCATTGGTAACATCAATCTTTTCTGGTTCATTTCCATCTAGATCAAAAACCAACTTCCGCACAAAGTGTGGGCCACCCTCTATCCTTTCTTTATCCTGTTAAACATGAAAGAATTTTAATTGTTAAAATATTAGAATATACCAATTGTTAAACAAGTAACATTTTTAAGATTAAAATTGTACAATAGGAGTTTTGGGTATAATAGTGTTTTACAACATTAATATTTTTGTTTCTATTTTGGTGTGAAGTTATATAATTTATGAAACGTGATAATAGATGCTTAAATGAAAACATGTTTTCAAACTATAAATTTAATGTCACTTTTTGATTTCTAATTTGGAAACAAATTTAAATACACATATACAACTACGAATATGTTTTTCTGCAATTTTTTTAAGAACCAATTTATTTTTAAGTCATACAGGTTTTGATTTGATTAGAACTCATAAAAGAAACAGTTCACATTAAAGAATGCCCACACCATTTGAATAAAGGGGAAAATTAAAGTAAATATGTATTTTGTCCACCCAAAATTTCAAATATATTTATAGATGCAGAAAACTAAAACTAGATACAATAATTAATGAATCAAATGTTTTATTAAAGAAAAAATTGAAACCCCCGTAACATTAGTTTTATTAAACAACCATCAAATATTTTATTAAAGATTAAATAAATAGTCGTTAATGTTAAGCTCTTCTATGTCATAATGGAGAGTAGACAAATATTTTATTCAAGAATCGTCTTCCTAAGCTCTTTTAGGTCATAGTCAAGAATAAATATATATTTCCAATTTTCTATTAGAGCTGAAGAATAAAAAAACAGAAACTCACATACCATTCGAAGTTGATTAACCATCGGAGTTTTCTTCTTATACTTGGGAAGAGGACACACTGCTGTTAGAGATAAGAAAAATAAGGCTAAGCGATGGGGGAGGAGTATGCGTAGAATAGGATGTCGGTGAGCACGTCCTCGATTACTGGATGTCGGATGTCGGTGAGCACGTCCTCGATTGTTGGATGCCGGATGTCGGTAGAATCTCTTGGAACAGGATGTTATGGAGAATAGAAGAAGAAGGTTAATCGGTGAAGTATGGAGAGAATAAGATGTCGGTAAGCACGTCGCCTGTTGTTGGTTGCCGGTTGCTGGTTGCTGGTTCCCGGTTGCCGGTTGCCTGTGAAGTTTCTTGGAACAGTACTTGTAAAGAATGAATGGAGAGAACGAAACACCATTAGGGTTGTTGGGGAGGGAAAAGTAATTTTTTAGGTAAAAATATTAGTTAGGTTAATGGGTGAAATCTGGGTTTTGACAGGATGGACTTAACGTCCGTCCCATTACAGCCTCTTTACTTCACATACACTTTTGCACATGTGAAGAAGAGGCACATGTTATTGGACACATGTCCAAAATTGGTGACGTGGGCAGGGATGTTGGTAGGAAGTTGTGGGCAGGAGATCCGGACTCCTCAAAACATGATTCCTCTACGGCTCTACTTCACCCAACACGCTTACAGTTTATTCAATCACCTATTCCTTCTACTGGAGTTTAATAGTCATTGGACTGTCTACGCATTGTCCTCTATTGGTTCCACAGAAGTTGGAGCTAGACCCATAACATCTCCGCAGCAATAGTAGAATCAACAATAACGGTGACCAACCGTGGCCTCTCTCTCTCTCTCTCATCAACTTCAATCGGCCTCGCACAAACAATTTCTCACCTCATCTTTGAGTGGATCGGTAATCCACTCCGTTTGGACAAAAAGGGCATTACTATCATTCAGACTAAAAAGATATGCACAGGTTTCTCAAAATATAACATGTGAGCGGATTACGATAAAATCCTAATGGTAGGAGAGTAATTAGTCAATTTTTAAAAATAATAAGGGTATTTTAAGACAATATATGAATAATAAAGGTAAAATTTGCCAATTAACTAAGCAGTAGGAGTAACTTAAGAAATTTGCCCTTTATAATTATAATGTCTCTACTCAATAATGACCCTATGTATGATAAAAAAAGTAATAAAATTATACACACCACATACCTGCCAATAATGAATACTTACATATATCATGGTTAAAACAAAAAAGAGAAAAATAAAACCATGATTGACAAATAGATCAAAGCAGCCTCTTTTGCATTGTGTATTTCAATAAAAAAGAAACGATTGTCATTTTCAAAAAATATAATATGAATTTGAAAACATTCACTATTTTTCAAAACCACGAACTTAAAGACTACCTGAAGGCTATATTTGGTTTAATAGAAAATAAGAAACTGAGGGAAACTTCTTCAAGGAATTCCCATCTGTCCTTTTTCTGGTCACCTCCCCCATACTTTGACCTGTACAAAAACTTCCCTTTACATTTCAAATAAATATGCAAGCATGCTCCCGTTAAATATCTTATAATGGGGATATTATAATTATTATGACTGCCCTTGTTATGAATTTGCACGGTGAATGTCATGGTTCTCTATTTATTAGATGGTATAAATATGGCATTTCTATTAATAGGGAAACTTTTAAGTTTAACCCCAACTTAAAAATGAAATCCATCTAAACAAAGTTAATCACCTTTTTGGGTATATCCACTACCTTTATCTCAATAAAGTTTTTCATGGGTAAAAATAAAGATTCTAAACTTGTTATGTATAATCAACGGAAGGGATGTATTTACATAAAGTGAGGATTTTATAATAAAAAATAAGTGGAGGTTTAAGTATTTGTAAAAAATATAGGGGATGTTTATATCAAAATCAAAAACATAAGGGATGTTTAAGTAAAATTTTCCTCGTTTATATCCTTTGGCCCCACCTCACAAAACCAAAAGAAGCAACCGCGAAGGGTAGGGCAGACCAAGGTTTTGATCCTATGCTACATCGTGATGAATTATGTACCCAAATCAGATAATGGGACTGGAAAAACTGGGAATTAGTCACTTGACCAGTTCTGTTTTATCCCAGAACCATCATTTAGCCAAAAACTGTTGATTAGGACAGCAAACCAGTAATTTAGGTTTTTGAACCATTCAAGCTATTTAACGATTTTTTATCATTTTTTATTTTTATATTTTTTGTCAGAATAGACTATCTGTTCGATCCATTCAACCTAAAAACCGAACCCATAAACAGTTTATTGTATAGTTCGATTTTAAAAGCCTTGGTAATTAGTAGACAACTACTTGAGCTTGACTCCGGTATATGCTTCTTATCAAATCTCAACCTTGTTCAATGAAAAAGGGAAAACGAGGGAAAAGGAAAAGACCCGATTCCTAGTCCCTGGGTCTACAGCTAAAGGCTAGAAGCGTTGAATTAAGATGTGTCCAAACTCTAAACCGTGGAAAAAAGCTTGCTTAATTTCATTGCATGTATAATAATGTACAACGTAATAAAATAAATAAATACAACGCAAGCTGATTAGTCCTCATAAGTTATTACCACATCCCGAAAATATTCAACAACATAGGCTTCAAAGGAAAAAAGAAAATATTCAACAAAATAAGGAATTAATTGACTATTCGATCCCATTGGTTCATCGAATAAAACTGTGGATTTGTATAAATAATTGGGTAAATTGTTGAAACTTTTTCCTTAAGTTTTTGATCTTTGTTGAAGCCTCCCCTTAAACTTTTTAAATAATTGCAAATAGATCCCTTTTATGATGATGATAATAATAATAATAAAAGAAAATTTAAAGTTGTAACTTTATCTTTGAGCAAGAGATATGAAAGATAAATTTGAAAAATAAATTAATTTCAGAAAAAAAGAAATTGGAAGGATTTAAACTAATAATTTAAATAAAAGAAATTAAAATATAAAATATTTTTGGTTAAAATTAACTATATAAGTATTTTAGACATTTTTATGCTTTTATTAGAGAATTTTAATAAAAGAAAATTTCAAGAGAGCTAATTGCAATTATCAAACATCATGGGAGCTTTCGGCAACAAAAAATTTACCCTCAATAATTAAGAATTCAGTATTTCCTATCGGGTGCTACCAAGAGAAACGTGGAGTGACATAACCATTCTTCCACCACAAGTAAAGCTGATGTAACGGAACATTAGTTTTGACTTTTTTTTCTTTTTTGTTTTTTTCGTTAAAGAGAATAGGATTAGTTGACCACTGCTGCATTGCACGCGGACAACGCTCTCTTCTAAACACAGACAAACAAGACTTTGTTTTGCTCTGGAGTCTGGGCACTGGGCTCTGCCTTCCCGCTTCCAAAGCTCTTGGGCTCTTACGTAGTAGTCGTGTAGCGAGAAACCCTGCTAGAGAATCTATTCCAGAAAAATTTCAGAACGGAAAAATCACTAATAAACATAGAAAAACGATACGAAGAGCAGGATAGGGGGGGAGCATCGTGAAGGCCAAACCGCCGCACCGCTGCTGCTTGTAAAGCATTTGTGAAGCCTACGGGAAGGCCTTCGGGAAGGCCTTCGGGAAGCCTTCCAGAACTCAAGAGCTCAAGAAGGAGACTTCGGGAAGGCCTTTGTGAAGCCTTCGGAAAGGAATGGATAGCACATCCATTTGTGAAGCTTTCTGAAGGCGGAGGAGAGAACAGAGATGGAGAAGAGAGAAGGAATGGATAGCACGTACGAGCTGTTTGCATTGGATACACGTACTAGCTGTTGCATTGGACATTCGATACGTGTATACCATGCATTGGATACACGTACGAGCTGTTTGCATTGGACATTCGATACGTGTATACCATGCATTGGAT